GGGAGCAAGCAAGCCTCCTGTTTGCTTCATCTGCCTGGCTGCCAGCCGCCATCTTGGTTGGCAGTTAATTTGCATATCGCCCTGATTAGCCAATGGGAAGTGTGTCAGAGGTATGGTTAATTACCATGTTTCTCTATTATTAGATAGGACTAGAGGCCCGGTGCATGATATTCATGCACTGGGGGTAGGGGGTCCCTCAGCCCAGCCTGCTCCCTCTTTCAGTCCAGGACCCCTTGGGGGATGTATGCCTGCCTTAGTGCTGCCGTGGAGGCAGGAGAGGCTCCCTCCACCACCACTGCGCTTGCCAGCTGTGAGCCCGGTTTCTGGCTGAGTGGTGCTCCCCCTGTGGGAGCGCACTGACCACCAGCGGGCAGCTCCTGCATTGAGCATCTGCCTCCTGATGGTCAGTGCATGTCATAGAGACCAATTGGTCAATTTGCATATTAGCCTTTTATTATATAGGATAGATATCATTTTTCTCCTGTTATAATCTTGAATGTTTGAGAGGCAGGGCAGGGAAAATTCAGATAGGCCAGGTCATAAAGAGGTGAAGGGATTTACTTAATGTTGCCACAGAGTTACTAGATTAGGTCTGTTGTTGGTCAGAGTGGTCTTCTGACTTTAGTGGACTCACCAGAAGTCAAAATACTGGCTTTGTTCCTATGAGTGCTTTGCCCTTCAAGGGACAAATGAAAATAGAATCTCTTATGTTAACATCCAGAAAGCAAATTTAAAAGACAGGAAAGCACAGGGAACATAAGAAACACATGTATAATGTTATTTGTTTTTACTCCCTCCACTCCTTTAGAATTTCCTGTACCCTTGGGAAGGGAACTTTAACTTGAATTATAAAGATAGTTCTTTTCAGAGAAGACACGGGGCAAAAAGGACAACTTGTATTCTAAATTGGATTGTCACCCTCCCAGGAGTGAGATAAACCCCAAAATCTACTACTCTGTCCTGCCAGAAAGGGCTACATAGAAATATTCTCTTATGCCCAGATCATGATTAGATATCAATAAATATTTTCCAATTTACTTCCATCAAACTGAGTAAGGTTTTCTGGGTCTTACTCACCTATATCCAGGGGTAACCCTTCTAAAAAAGGTGACTACAAAGTTCCACAAACCCATGGATTAAAATCCCAGCTTGGCAAAATGGGACAAGTAGATAGACACAAAGCAGAGGGAGGATCTAAACATACAATTTATTCAGATAATCCATTAAGCCACTACCCTATATGGAGGAAATCTTATATAGAAATGCAACACAGTTCATGCAAAAGT